ATACTGATCCTGGGATAGTTACAAAAGTGATAAATAACTACTCCAACTCATTCCCCCCACAACCAGTACCGCAACTCCACGTGATGGTTGCAACTCAGAGGACTGCAATGCAGACCTCAATGACGGTGACAGACTAATTCAAGAAAATATTAGATTTAATACTGTTAAGCTTGCAGTTCTCACCAAATTAATTTGTACATTCAGTGCAGATACTGTCAAAATCCTAGCAGACCTTTTTGAAGAAATTAACAAGCTGATTTTAAAATTTATATGGAAAGGCAAAGGAACAAAAATTGCCAAAGCAATCTTATAAAGAAGACAAACTTAGAGGGCTTACACTAACTGATTTTAAGACTTGCCATGAACCTGCAGTAATCAAGACAGTGTACTACTGGCATAAGGAGAGACATCAGTTAATGAAACAAAAGAGAGTATCCAGAAACAGAAACATAATATGGACAATTGATTTTCAGGAAAGACGCCAACATATTTCAATGGTGGGGGCAAAAAGCCTTTTTTAACAAATTATGCTGGAACAATTAGTATCTGTATAGAAAAAGAAAGGAGAAAAAAAAAACTTCAACTTTACCTTGCACTATACACAAAAATTAACTTGAAATAAATTAAATACCTAAACAAAAGAGCTAAAATTTTATACTTTAAGGAGAATACATTGGAAACCTTTTGTGACCTTGGGCAAGAAAGATTTTTATATAAGACACAAAAAGTGTGATTTATAATATAAAAAACTGATAAAATGCTGTCCATCAAAATTTGATTTTTGCTTTTTGGCAAATTAAAGAAAATGAAAAGGTAAACTACAGAGTGAGATAAACCATTTGCAGAATCTATATCAGAGAAAGGGTTTGTATCAAATGTGAAGAACTCTTATAACTCATTGATAAGACAAAAAAACTTTTATGGGCAAAAGATTTGAACAAACAGTTTGCAAAAAAAAAAGATAAATGAATGGCCAGTAAGCACATAAAAATTTTTAATATCACTTGTTATCAGAAAAATGAGAGTTGAAAACACAATAAGATACGATATCACACCCACTAGAATGGTTAAAGTTAAATGATAATTCCGGGGATAGATGAAGATGTGAAGCAACTCAGACCCCTATATTGCTGATAGGAATGATGCAGCCAAAATGGTGCAGCCGTTTTGTAAAACAGTATGACAGTATCTTATAAAATTAAACATGCACTTATATGACCCAGCAATTTCACTCCTAGGTATTTACTTAGAAGCAATGAAAGTATATTTTCACAAACACACTTGTATTTGAATACTCAGAAGCATTATTTGTAGTAGCCAAAAACTGGAAGCAACACAATTGCCCAACATCTGGTAAAAGAATAAACAAATTTAAACATATCCATACTAGAGAATACTTCTCAGTTATACAAAGGAATACCCAACAACATTGATGAATCTCAAAAATATTTGCTAAGTAAAAGAAGTCGACATTAAAGACTACATACTGTATGATTCCATTTGTAAGAGTTTCTAGTAGTGGCAAAACTATGGTGACAGAAAGCAGAGTGCTTGTGCCTGGTGCCAGAAGAAGGAAATTGACCGTAAGGGACGTTCATATACTTTTCGGGGCTATGGGGCCATTCTGTGTATTCATTGCAGTAGACGTTATAAATACTGTTTATAATACCAAAAGTCATCAAATTGTATACTCAAAACTAGTTAATTTTACTATATATAAAGTATACCTCATTACAGGTATTTTTTAAAATTCTGTCATTACCATGCAGTTTGCAAGATGAAATGACTACTTTTTCTAAGTTATTAAAAGCACTTTTATTTTTTTTTATTTTATTTTATTTTATTTTTTCCTTTTTTTTTTTGTCTTTTTTTTTTTTTTTCGTGTCCGGCAACGGATCGCAAA